GTGAAAGTTGATGCTGTTTATTATCTCTACCCCCCCCCCCCCCCCCCGCCTTTTAATATTCCATCCCCTGTGTGTGTATATGTACGCGCCCCTCCCTGATCATTGTTTCATTGGGGTGGGGGCTGTTATTACTGCGGGGTTGTTGGCTTGGAGGCCGCGTTGCTGGCCAACGGGACTGGATTGGCAGCGTGCCCACGGTGCCCTCCCCTTGCAGCTGGGCGCATCAATCACCAGCTCCCGGTTCTGCCTTCTCCCGCCCACCTCAGCAGCCTATTTCCGCCGCTTGGCGCCTCCATTATAAAAGGCGGACTGAGGCCGGCCCCTGCACACTCACACACATTTCTCCCTCCCTGACTACCCCCCCACCCTCCCAGCTGAAGATGAGTTACATCCTGGAGACGGTGAGCAGTCCTTCCTCCTCGTACCGGAGGCTGGAGAGCAAGAGCTACAGCAGCCGGGCCGCCGCTTCCTCTCGCCCTCAGCCGTGGTCTCGGGTTAGTGCACCCGCTCCGGTGCTGACCTCGTCCTCCTCTGTGTCTTACCGGCGCCTGGCTGGCGGGGTGCAGGCTCCCCGGGCTTACAGCTCTTCCGAGAGCCTCGACTTCAGTCAGTCCAGCGGCCTGAATGGAGATTACAGGGGAAGCGGGGGCCGGAATGAGAAGGAACTGCTGCAGGGTTTAAACGACCGCTTCGCGGGCTACATCGACAAGGTGCACTCGCTCGAACAGCACAACAAACAACTGGAGGCTGAGATTCAGTCTCAGCGCCAGAAGCAAGCCAGCCACGGGCAGCTGGGGGAGGTGTACGAGCAGGAGCTGAGGGAGCTCAGGAGCCTGATAGAGCAGGTGAACCACGACAAGGCGCTACTCCAGCTCCAGACCGAGCACCTCGATGATGACCTGCAGCGGCTACGGGAGCGCCTGGAGGACGAGGCGAGGCTCCGGGAAGACACCGAGGCCAACATTAGGGGGCTGCGGAAGGAGGCGGAGGACGCGGCGCTGCTCAAGCTGGAGATGGAGAAGAAAGCTCAGTCCCTTCAGGACGAGATCGCTTTCCTTCGGGCTAACCACGAGGAAGAGCTGGCCGAACTCTTCGCCCAGATCCAGGCGTCCCAGGTCACGGTGGAGCGCAAGGACGGGCTGAAGACCGACCTGAGCTCGGCGCTGAAGGAGATCCGCTCGCAGCTCGAGGGCCACTCGGCCAAGAACCTGCAGCAGACCGAGGAGTGGTTCAAGTGCCGCTACGCCAAGCTGAACGAGGCGGCCGAGATCAACAAGGACGCGATCCGCTCGGCCCGCGAGGAGATCGGCGAGTACAGGCGCCAGCTCCACACCAAGTGCATCGAGCTCGAGTCGGTCCGCGGCACCAAAGAGTCCCTGGAGAGGCAGATCAGCGACATCGAGGACCGGCACAACGCCGATGTCTCCAACTACCAGGTAAGGAGCAGGGCGGCTCGCCGCGGGACCCCCTCCCTCCAGCATCTATCCAAACTCCCCACCGCGGGACCCTCTCCCTCCAGCATCTATCCAAACCCCACCCCACTCCCCACCGCGGGACCCTCTCCCTCCAGCATCTATCCAAACCCCACCCCACTCCCCACCGCGGGACCCCCTCCCTCCCGCATCTATCCAACCCCATCCCACCGCCACCAGTATCCATCCGATAACTCTTCCAAATATCCCACCCGACGCTCCCAATACCCACTCATCCAAACCCCAATTTACCACCGAATAACTCTCCAAAGATCCATCAAATACCACCACCTCCCCCATGTCCATCCAACCCTCTCACCCACCTCGGGGTAGAAGACTCGGTAATTGCTCCCCCCTCCGGCCCTTCCCAAGCTCCCTCTCACTCTCTGCCTCTTTCACTCTGTGTGTGTGTCCTCCCTAGTCTGTTCTCCCTTTCTCATCTCTCTCTGTCTTTCTCTCTTCCCCCGCCCTCTCCTAAGTCGTCCATTCGCTCCCCCTCCCTCCACCCGTTTTCAAGCCTCAGCGCCTCCGTAAGGGGCGGGAGGAGGAGGGGGGTGGTGTTGGGTGGTGAGGAAACTGTTGGTCTCCGGAGCTCCGCTGCCGGTTAATGAGTCGCGCTGTCCGCCTGTAGCTCACGGGGCTCCGACTTGTCTGGAAACGAGTGGAGATTTGCCGGGGAAGGAGCTGGGCGGTTCTGCTGGAGCAGGGTCTGGGGGAAAGCGTGCTCTAAGACCTGCTCAACTAAAGGTACTGTCTGCTCCCGGGGCTCCGCTTGGCTTTGAGGGTCGTAGGGGCTTCGTCGCTGGTAGTTTATTTATGTGTTTCTTGTCTGTCTGTGTGTCTGTGTGTGTGTGTGTGTCTGTGTGTGTGTCTGTGTGTCTATATGTGTGTGTGGAATATTTTAGGAAACCGTCCAACAGCTGGAGAATGAGCTCCGCAACACCAAGTGGGAAATGGCCCGTCACCTGCGGGAATACCAAGATTTGCTGAATGTGAAAATGGCTTTGGATATCGAGATTGCCGCTTACAGGTAACCGGACCGTCAGCGGCACTTAAAGAAAGGGGGCTGGGGGCCAGGGGGGACTGCTCGACGAGAGAGCGGTGTCGGGGCCGTCATTCGGGACAAAAAGGCGAGTCATTCAGAGACATTGAGGTTGTTGTCCCGGGACCATCAATGGGAGTGGGGCACAGGGGACCCCTCCCCCCTCAGGCTGCAGCGTTTCGTGGGGTGGGGTTGCTTGGTTGACCTTTCTCCCGGGTTGTATGTTCTGCAAAGGCATAGGGGGATAGGGAGGTGGGGTGGGGGTGACGGAGGTGGAGAAGGGTGACGGTGCTGCACAGTGTCCCAGTTCAGCCGGAGTGCCGTGTAGTGCGGGCCCGGGGGTGGGAGCAGACTGTTCTCCCGTTTCTACTACTCCTCAGGGCCCACCGCTTTCTGCCGAGGGGAGGGGCGGGGTGGGGGTGGGGGTCACGGAAACTGTCTTTGCCTGAAATAGCCGAGGCCACTCGGCAGCGAGCGAGTCTGTTCCCCAGCCATAACTTGGCGCTCCCCAAACCATAATGTGAAACCATCTCTGATCTCTCTCTCTCTGTGTCTCTGCACCGCATTTCGCCCCTCCCATTGCAATTCCCCCGCCCTTCCACCCCATCCCCCCAGCCTCTGATAAATGCAAAAGTTCCTCTGTGCGCCTTTCTGCAGGCTATCTTCTGAAAGCCACTCCCTTCGGAAACTATCCCACCTTGCCCCAATAACGGGCCATGACAATTATAGACTAACAGCGCAAGAACAGGCTATTCGGCCCCAAAGCTATATACTGGTCCTTTACGGGAACCTTTCAGGAGAATGGCACACTCAGTTGGGAATGTAGTCCCTATTTGTGCTCCCAGTGTGTATCCCTCTTCCTATTGTAAGGATTAAACCATCCCCCTTCTCTCCACTCTCCCTTTCTCTCTCTCTGTCTCTATCCCTCTGTCTCTGAGCAGGAAACTGTTGGAAGGTGAAGAATCTAGATATACCTTCTCTGGAAGCATCACTGGCCCCTCCTTCCCCTATAGACCTCCGACCACACCCACAGCCCTGGTCAAAGTGCAGAAAACCAAAGAAGCCCCCAAGTTGAAAGTGCAGCACAAATTCGTGGAAGAGATCATTGAAGAAACCAAAGTGGAAAATGAGAAAGCAGAACTGGATGAGCTGGACTTGGCCGAGGCAGTGGAAGTGTCTGCAGCTGAATCCAGTGTCGAGGAGGAGGAGGTGGTCAAAGAGGTAGTTGTAACCACAGTCAAGACTGCAGTTCAGGCTGAGCCAGAAGCAAAGGGTGAGGAAGAGGAGGAGGCAAAGGAGGAGGAGGAGGAGGAAAAGGAGGAGGAGGAAAAGGAAGAAGAGGAGAAAGGTGAAAGAGAAGGTGGTGCTGACCAGGAAGAAAGAGAGGAGGAGGAAGAGGCAGAAGGTGAGGCCAAGGAGGCAGAAGAAAGTGAAGAAGTCAAGGAGAAGATTGAAAGTGTGAAGCTGGAGGAATCGAAAGCTCTGCCAGAGGATCAGGCAAAGAAAGCAAGTGAGGAGGAGGAGGAAGAAGAAGTCACCAAGAAAGAAGAAGCTGCTGAAGAGCCTAAAAAAGAACTCACAGAAAATGGGGAGGAAGCAGCACCCGAAGATGCTAAGAAGAGCAAGGAAGCGGTCGAAGAGAAGCTTGTTTCTGAGAAAAAGGTTGAGGCAGTTGAAGAGGGCAAAGAAGCAGCAACAAAAGTCAAATCACCACAGAAAGAGGAGGCCAAAGTAGAATTGGAGGACAAATCACCAAAAGAAGAGAAAGCCCCAGAAGCTGAGGAAAAGAAGGATGAAGACAAGTCAAAAGATGAAGGCACAACCATCAATGGAGAGGTCAAAGAGAAAGGGGATGGCACCAAGGAAAAGGAGGAAGAGTCGCAAATCATTTCCAATGGGGTTGATCAGAGTCCTACAAAGGAGGAGGACTCTGACATTGTCTCCCACATGAAGACCGCAACAAAGACTATCCATAAGGTCATCGATGATGATGACGGGATGACCAAACACATCAAGGAGATCACCAAATCTGTCACGGTAACTCAGACAATGGAGGAGACAGAAGAGGTTGTCCAGGAGACAATAGTGTCCACTAAGACGGTTGAGAAAACCTCACACTCGGTCATAAAGAAGGAGGAGGACAACGAGTGAAGTGAACCTCACGAAGCAAAGGGGATGACACTTGACAGCTAAAGATGCATGGGTGTGACAGCTTTTCTGGCCTTGAGCAGAGTGGGTCCTCCCTTGAGGAGCTCCAGACTTCCCGTCTTTTCCTTTTGTGCAATAGAAGAAACTGCATGCAAGTTTAAAAAAATGTGCCCTCCACAGCGCTGAAATACAAGGAACCACTGAACGGATAAAATCCGACACAACTGAAAACCCAATTGCATGGAAGACATATGCACTGAGTCATGACAAACAACGAAATGTTCAAGAGAGGTTGTGAGCTGTTGGGGAGTGCTTTTGAGAAAGTGTAAAGATGTATTATGCAAAGAATAAACTGAGCCAAAAAGTTAAAAAAAACGAAAAAAAATCCTTAGCCTTAAACTGCTCATTGATTAATCTATGTTTACCTCACGAGTGCTTTTAAAATGGACTTCCATTGGTGGGAGGGAGGGACTACTGATCATTCACCAACACGTCACACTGTATCACCCCATGTGCAACTTCACTGCAGTATTTGCTGAATAAAAGTCATATTCTGAATCTCAATGTCTAGTTTATTGGTTCAAATAAATGCAGAGGAGGGAGGAGTTGGTGGGATCTTGTTAACTTATAAACATCCCTTACCCTTTGATTGACATTCATTGATACATCATTAGTAAAGAGGGAGACTCCAAATTTTGTGTGCAATCTCAGAACAATCTTATTCCCTTGAATGCCTTCAATTTCCCATGCTGCCAAATCATGTATGAACTATTTTAACCAGTTTATTCATGGACTAACTTGAAAGAAAGATGAGGCAGTATTCGATCTCACCTTCTTACATTTGGGGAGATTCCAAATAAAATGTAGGTGTTAGTTTTTGAAACTGGCTACTGCTGACATTTGAAAGTGAAAGCTCATGTGCATGTGCATCAAGGTAAAATTTTTGTTTCGATTTAATTCTGGATTCACTAACGTGAATCTGATTCTGTTGGCAATGCAGTGGTGATGCAGTCTGCAGGATTTGTCAGTGGGAATGAACATCATAACATCGTTCCAGCTCCGGTTGCTGATGTGTTCTTTCAGAATAAGAAATGAGGGTCATTCTGATATAGTACCAATTGAAATAAATCAAGTTTCACCTACCCTCCAACCTGCCTTCTCAAGCATTTGAACACCACTTTCACGACTTCCTTTTCCATTCCCAATGCCGTCAATCAGCAATATATAATGATGTAGTGTCAATACATCAAACTGTGACCTGGAACACATTCCCGAAGCTAACCACAATTTGCAAAATGGGTCATTCTGAAGTTCTAATTTCCTTGTAGCTGACTCGCATCTTTTGGATGCGAATGTAATTATAAATCACACCCGGCTCTCTTTAACAAGTCTGCTGATTCCCGCAGCTTTGGGGGCAGTGAGTTGGCGGGGGTTGGTGGAGACCAGCTGGGCGTGAAGCAGTGCAGGCTGCGAATGCAGCAATAAACATGAACCAACGCGGAATTAACCGCTTCAGGACCGCAATGCCTTAAGAGGTGAGGAGTGGGAATTTAGCCATTATCGTGTGAGAGAGTTAAATTCGTCTGTGGGATCTCGCAGAGTTTTTTTTTGAAAAGACTCCCCCCTCCCCCACCTTAACGGCAATAACCCAAACCCTTCAACGCGGCGTTTTCAGTCCTTCAGAAGCTCGGTGAAGTATCAGCACCACGCTTGTCTGAACAGCTCCCTGCAGAGATGGGGACAAAGTGTTCCTCTGATGCTGCCTGGCCTGCTGAGTTCTTCCATCTCCACACTGTGTTACCCCTGACTCCAGCAATCTGCAGTCCTTCCTGCTTCTTCCTCGGTAACTTGTTGGGTGGGGTGAGGGGCAGCCCGGACACCGCAGTGCAGCCGTGGTACTCGAGCTGATTCTGAAACGTGGAATCGACCACTTGAGCAGAACGCCCGCTAACTTTGATGGTTAACCCACGAGAAAGGAATTATGAAGAGTGCTCTCACAGTCAACGCACCATCCGACAGGGCTCAGTGCTAACGGAGACAAGGAGTCCCACATGAGGAAAAATGAAACCTCGTGGGGAAGAGCTGAAAGCTTTCGCTCGCTTCTAGTAAGTCACTTATCGCTGCGGACTGAGGAACCAGCTGGCCTGGCATAGAATCCAAACCCTCCACCTTATTACACTCCCCCCCACCCAAACCAACCAACCAGGAAAATCCATTAGGATTCCCAGCGGTGCCCCTGTCAGCTCCTGTGCAGTGCCATCCATCCGGCCGTGTCCCAGGAGCCACTCAGACAGGAAGACGTTGAACTTTAATCAAAGCGCGCAGGTCCAACGAGAGGGTGGTGGGTGGGGGGGAGGTGGGGAGGGCGGGTACTGCTCGAGAGAATACATTGATGTACCGCACCCCAGCACTTGCACAGCTTGGAAAAGCACCAACGTACTGCAATTGTGCACAGGCTCCCAAGACTCGTTGTTCTCCCATTGACATTTATAGGTTTAAAACTGACGGCTTTCAGCTCTCCGCTGTCCCACGGCAGTGCTCAAGTGAGGGGGAGCGCAAGATAATGGTTTTTACTGCAGTGATTAGATCTCTTCCCACTATCCCTTCTAACCAGACAAGGGCCGCTCTGAGCTGAGCTCGCCAGGCCAGCAACAATATGGTTCTGAGGAAGTGTAACTGGACCCTTCCGCTTTCTCTCTACAGATGCGGCCAGTCCTACGGAGCAGATCCAACAATTTCTGGGGTCTTGCACAGTAACAATCTGGACTTGCTGATCCAGTCTGGGGTTTATTTCCCCCCCAAATCCTAGCATTTTCAGACTTCATAATCATTTCGGAGTTCCCAGGCTGTAGAAGTGAAGTTTCACTGCACTTTCCTCCCCGGCCGCACCCGCAACGTCTTTGTTTTTTGATCATCTCCTAAACCGGCAGCAATTTCTCCTTCCTCGTCCGTTTCTTTGAAGGGATGTTCCTTTTTCTAAAAAAAAATTCATTGACTGCAGCAAATTTCTTAATGCCACCACCATCCCCTCCCCCCTCTCCCCTGCCCAAAAAAAGGCGGGCCGCCCACTGGCTGACGGATTGAAGTTGAGATTGGGGACCAGAGATAAAAAGTCTGCATTCCCCTTCGCACATCTCGCTGTCTCCTGGCTCTGTGCCGGGCTCCTCCTCCAGGCTGGAAGCCTGTTATTGTGAACTGCCCTGCCCCGCCAGGCAGCCAACAGCTTCCCATTCAACCGGCCTCACTTGCTCTGCTAGCTCTCGCTCCGTTTTTGGGGTCGGGTGTGAGGGGTTTGGGGGGGGGGTGGTGGTCGGAGGTCTGGGGTGATGCTCAGGGGACGCGATCAGCTGAAGTTTGATACAGTCAACATGAGGCAAAAGGAAACGGAGAGCGGTGTTGGTGCTTCAAGTGCGTTTGGAGCCGTTTGTTTATTTCAAGAAAAGTGGGGCAGGCTGCAATTTTCACTCTATTCTGATGGTCAAGTGGGGAGAGGGGTTCTCCCCCAAATCCCAATACACACACAGACAGACACACACACACACTCACGCACACAGACAAACACATACACTCTCTCACACAGACACACACACACACTCACAGACACTCACATACACACAGACACACACACAGACACACGTACATACATACGCACACACTCACAGACGCTCACACACACACACACGCACACACACTCACATACACACACTCTCTCTCACACACAGACACACACAGACATACACACACTCTCACACACACAGACATACACTCTCACACACACAGACACACACGCACGCACAGAGGCCGGCAGCAAACCCCCACCCCCACCAGAAGCAGCAGCAATGCGGAATGTTGGTTATGACAAAGGAAAGAAATGTAAGAATCCCCCACCCCCACAGCCATAATCTTAAGTGTGATAAGGGTAAGCGCAGGAGGCATTGGGGAGTGAGTGAGTTCGCAGTGAATTTCCCCAAGCTGGCTGTCGGTGAGTCAGACAGATGGACACATCGAGACAAAATGTTGCCTTCTGGCTCTCTGAGGAATTAGGAACTTCCCCGGGAGCAGCAGCATTTAAACGGGCCGCGCCCTCATCTCTCCCTCTCTCTCTCTCTCTGCGTCTGCGCAGGCGCCCACCGACATCCCCAAACCCGGAAAAGTGAGGCTTGTCCTGAACTTTTCTCCCAACGGGTTCTCTTGTTGGTTCAGTGCCTCCTCCCTGTGCAACTCACTGCCCCGCTTTCGGCGGGCGAGTTGTGCCCCGTTTGAACCCTGGAGAATTATTCCGGGCCATGTCCCTGGTTTCTGTGAGTTTAGCAGCAAGTGACCCGGTGGAGGGGACGTAGAGGCAGACACAAGAAACCCCACTCGCAGAGGGAGGTGAGCAGGAAGAGGAGTTTGCAGATTATGATGGCTGGCCCTACATGTTGCTTTAAGGCCACTTTAACCTGATCCATCGCCCCGAGGCACCTCTCACAGCAACGTTGTTGAATTGGAATCTGCAAAATCCGAGTCCAAGTGGGGTCGCCTCGAAAGATCTGAGGGCGGCAGAGGCAAAGAGAGGTTTAGGGAGACAGATGGAGTCTGCCTCATGGTGCGGCTCAGATTGTGAGTCTTTAGAGGGAGTAAGGGATTCAAACAGGCGTGAGGTCATCTCAAATTGGCCAGGGAGCCAACGTGACTCAGGAAAATCGCGGGGCCGTGTTGGTGAACAGGGCATGATGCCAATTTGAATGTGGGCAGGGCAGATTTGGCTGAGGTTCAGGATAAGTAACATGGACTGACAGAAGGCTCGGTCCGGAAGGTAAAACTAAAGCCATAGTGCCGAGCTCACCTTACGGACAGAGAGAGTGAGATGACTAGTCGTGAGTTTAAGTTGAGGGTCACCACTTCTTCAGGCAAGGAGGAGATGGGACTTTCGTTGTAACTGCAGCTCCTGCGGGAGTTGAACCCGCGCTGCTGGCATCACTGAATAACCCAGTTAAAGCTAACCGTTATTGCAGAGTGGATGCCCCCAGCGTAGGGCAGGACGGTATTGAACCCGCGCCTTTGGTGGCTTGTAGCACCGGAGCTAAGTAGTGACTATGTGCTGGGTCTCTGCTTGGGGGTGGAGGGGGAAGGGTGTTTAAAGACAGGGCTGGAGAAGATGTGTGACAGCCTGGGAGGTGCCACTTGACCACGAGCTGCTCACACCGACCCCCAATTCCCACAGATTTGGTGGTGCGTGGAAATGGAAACGAGCCTTTGCTCCGAGAATGACGCGGCAGATTTGGTCATGGGAACTGGAAGGTTCCACCCCAGCTTCTGTCAGCCCTTTTGTTTTTGTTGCATTCACTCAGAGTCACATTCAATCGATGTCCTTTACAATTGCTCACACGCCGTCAGGCCGCCTTCCAAAATGAATTGGATTTGATTAAAATTCCGCAGTATTCAAAAATAGAGGGAGGTGGCTAAATTTACCCCAGGCCCTTCACATGGAAAACATTTCCGCGTTGTGTTTGGAAGCATTTTTGGAATCG